ATTGAATAGTGCATTTTGATTGTATGGTGTGATTGATAATATAGCCCTATAGTTTCTCCTCCACATTCCCACCTCTACAAGCTAGCACTAGTCATTGAATGTGCTATTGGTTATTGCTATTGTTTTGTTTTTAACTGTAGGAATAATTAAGACTAGTATTTTAGTAGTAAATGTTGTGTGTCGACCTTTCCTATCAGTAAAAAAAGAAAAACAAATCCAGGTGTTCACTGAGAAACAATCCTTTTAACAGCTATTCGTTTATATACAATTCAGGTAGAATATATTGAGTTTAGTTGTGGAAATTTTAATGGATGTGTACATAGATGACTTTTGTCTTTAACTACTGTTAATAAGTGGTAGCACATAGGCTTTCATGACTACTAAAATGTGTATTTTAAAAGACGCAGTAAGTTTAGAGTTGCAGGGAACTGGTTTTACTAAAAAACGCAGAAATGTAAATACGGTGGAAGGAAACATATACATTCTTAGTTGCATGCCTTCTCTTTCATTTTCTCTCTGAGGATCTAAGTAAACAGGAAAACACCAGAGTGCAAAGTCTTTTCACTTACTTTTACAGGTATTGCTAAACAGTTTGGGTATAATCAATGCATTTATAGGACCAGAAATGTAGGATCAATTGAATGCCTCAAACTAAATATATACAAGGCAATAAAGGTGTTGGCATTTCTATCAGTGTTAATGCACATTGCTTTATCTTCTGAGCCACTTTAAAATGAAAATGATTTGCAGTCTGTAATATCTGGTTTTGTCCTCTTAAAATGGTTCTAATTCTGTTTCATTCATTTCTGCTGTAACACTTCTATATTTTAGTGATTTAATTGATGTCAATATAGTGTTTTATCAAATGGTTTATAGTGTCTGGAAACTACTGACGTTTGGTTATTTCATAAATTCCCAATCTGGAACCTAGATGATATTCCAGATTTGTCAGCATTTTTCTAATGACGTATATAGGTTGATAATTCGATATATAAGCAAATAAATACTGTCGCATATTCTAACAATACTTCCACAAAGGCACCATGCACTCTTTTGAGTTGGAGACATTTGCTTAAACCTGTAGAAAAATCAAAATTTGTTCTGAGCTGAACCCATTTCCCTATCAATTTATTTTTTAAATTATGGGAATCTGTGATTCATATAATTCAATTTCAAATAAGCTTTATATTGCATTCTTTCCTGTTTATTTGAAACGGAGACAAAATTGGAAATGTTATTTGTTCAGTCTCAGTTCGTTTACATATTAACTCTCTATAGGTTGCCCTTGAAAATATTTTTCAGATTAGGAATGTTTTATCTTTACTAGGGATAGCTTGAAAATAAAAAGTAGCTCAGTAGTCCTTCATATTGACTCTTGTGGGAAAAGATATCTGTGTGAAGCCATTAAAAGTCTTGTGATCAGTCCTTAACCAGTTCTGAGGAAAATCCTGGGTCACACAGAGTTCAACAGTCCCTAATCTTGAATACTAACTCCAAAATCACAAAACTCTTATGACAAACTGAATGCTATGGCAGTAAATTTATTTTTCACTTACCGAAAATACCTATAAGAAATATTGCAGCTAAAATAGAATAGAATAGAATTCTTTATTGGCCAAGTATGATTGGATATACAAGGAATTTGTCTTTGGTGCATATACTCTCGGTGTACATAAATAAAAATAGAATAGAATACATTTTCAATAATAATATCTCATCAAATATGCAAAATAAGGAATAATTATGGGAAAAATGGAAAATTTCTGAATATATAAAAACTCCTTGAAGGGAGATATGGTTATGCTGCCTTTTTATTCCAGAAAAATACAAAATAGTCCATCAGCATATTGACAAAGTATCTACAACAAAAGATTATTTTTTTTTAGAATTTCATGTTACAGCACAATTCAGAATATAGAATAATATCTTAATTACCTTGGTTTATTTAGAAATCTTAACTAATGCCTAAAAGGTTAAAGCTGTATTTTTTCCCCTTCATATCATGTGAGTTTTGCAGTACACTATCTAAAACTCCTAACTATTCCTTCTTTCCAGCATTTACTATTCAGTTTCTATATTTACACAGATGACCTCTAAGAAATCAGCAAACAGACATAGATGCCCTCTCTCTTTGCCTCATCCACCACCCCTTGCAAGTTTCTGTTGTTTGGAGAATCATGAACCAATGTTTATACTAGAATGATTTCTAACACCCTCTCTTGCTACTACTGTATTTTAAAGGTAGCCTGAAAGTGTGGCCAAAAGGTTTGCCAACAGAACTGGGTTTAGCTGAGAAAATATGTACACTGCTTTGACTCAGTAAACTTATACTGCAAATGATTCAGCTTCTTCATATTTGCTTTATCCCATATTAGAAAACAATTAGCTTACTAAACAAATTTGAGCATTTGGGGGTGGGGTGTAGAAAGATCTACTCTAAGTTTCTGTAATTTGATTTAGAATTACAAAATATTTGATAAGCTTGTTTAAAAGTGTCCAAATATTATCGTAAACATCCAATGATTTGTTTTACCTGCAATATAAGTATTTTACTTAGTTGGCTTACATAGTAGCTAATAATATTTGTTAATGTAATTTAACTGCTGTGAACCTTTACTGAACAAATATTGAAATTTATACAAGTCAAAGAATAAGGATCTCTAATGACTTTGGTAAAGACTTCCTTTTAATAGTTAAAGAGAAAAGTTTATACAACACAGCCTATGTGATTAACAGCAGCTTTTACATTTAATAAAACAAAGAAATATATGTATTTGCTTTATTCGTTCTCGTATAATTTGCATTACTGTTATGGGTATTTAATGAGCAAATTCCAACTAAAATGCTATGTTGATTTTCTAAGTGAACTTTGAAATAGCTATGTACCTTAACTGTTTACAGTTATTATCGATCTTAAAAGTACAAGTGTGTTAGTCTTGATGGATGTAGTACAATTATCTTTCAGGAAGCAAGCCATTTTGTAATCCAGATGTTTGGCTTGGAATGATACTCAAATTTTGATGGTCTGCTACTGCAGCAAGATAAGCTAAATTTACTTTACTAATAAAAATATGGGTTTTTTTCAGTCATCTTAAAATACGATACACAGTTGATTTGTTGGGTCTACTTTTACTCCAGCTTACACTGAAAATAATAGATTTCTGCTTTGGCAATGTGACTGATACCTTATTCCCTCCACATGACATTGAATATGCACATTTATTTCAAGAAGCTTCATATTTCAACTATAATGTCATTTAAAAAAATACTTAAATGAACTTGGTTTGGCTGAAATAGTTTGCCAAGATAAACCTAGGTGTTCCAGGAAATAGCAAAGGTGACTTTGATGCAATAGACCTGAAAATCTTTGCCCATTGTTCCAGTAAAGTCAAATGGATTACCCAGATTTATTTTCTTTTATCAGCGTGATTATTCTTCCCCCTCCCTCCATACAGCAGTTTGATCCAATTTAAAATACACTAGTATCCACTAAGTTACATGACTAACATTTTCCTAAAAATGGTTTGAGATGGACAATTTGATGCAGCAGTTAAGGTATTGCATGACAAACCAGTAACTTTTAGTTCTTGTGATTGTCACTCTTTTACAGCCCAAAACATTTCATGGAGTATTTTTTGAGGAAAACATATATGCCACTTTTAGTTGTACAAGAGAAAATCAGGATATAAATCTCATAAAATACTAACTATTTTAATACCTTTTAAATACCTTTTGAAGATGCAGCTTCAGCTAATGTTAGTTGTTCAAAACACAGCTTGCGTGTATAATAATACAGTTTTCTCCAAAATTGTAACAAATTTGTCAGCAGTGTTTTTATCTGTAATCTGCTATATTTTGATTTTTATTTTTATTTTACTTTTTAATTATATTTATTGTACTTTTATTCCTCATTTTGCTCTAGAATCTTTTGGAGATTTGCGTCAATTGTGATTTAAGACTGGGCTATTATTTTCAGATTAAATAAGTACCCCATATTAGATACCATGATGTTAAAGAGGAGGAGGAGTGGGGGGAGGGGGAGGAGGAAGATTAACTCTTCTATGATTTCAGTGATCTTGTCTTTATAATCTCGCATAGTTGCATACTAGAACAACTAAAATTTTGCAATATCATTTCTCATAAAAATCATGTAAAATGATTTAATGGACCAAAATTTTGGCCAATTTTGCATTTTCCGATCAAAAGTTTCATAGGCAAACATTGGAAAATACAAAATTGGTATGAGTTCAAAAATCTCACAAAAATTTGAGATTTGCATGTAGCTTGTCATGAGATTTCAGACATTTTTAAAAAAAACATTGTTATTGATTCATTTTAAACACGGGGAGGGGGATACCATCAGATTTATACAGTATTTCTTACCCCTTTACCCTCATATTCAGGCAAATATATAGAACCAAGGTGAAGAACAAATGCAATGAGTCTACATCATGTCCTTTCTTTTACTAGAACTTTTCCCTAAAAAACGCTCAAGTTGCACTGCATGTGGAAAAAGATTATTCAAGTAGATGAGCCTTTGTTCTGATCCAGCATGGTTCTTTTTACATGGCAGCTTTAGATACAGCTTGGCATCTAGTAGAATCAGCATTTCCTTAAAACAGTGTTTTATAATCTTGACAACTAGCAGGTCTGGGCAGGGGAATTCTGGGAATTGAAATCCACACATCTTGAAGCTGCCAAAATTGATAAACAATGCCTTAAAGGAAAAACAATTCATTGAATGCTTTCATCCCTTTAGCATACTTAAATAACATATCTGCATTAAGTTCAGCAATTCCTTCATTTAATTTAGAAAATTTTAATTGGGTCCTGACTAATATGGGTGTCTGTCTGGAAATGATTAATATGGAAGACATTATAATTAGTTCCCATGGATAAATAAATATCCATTAATTTAGAAAAGTTAAAAACAGCTATAAAATAGATAAATTTCCTTTGTGGGTCATACTCATACAATACATCCATTTACTATATTGCAGCTCTGGTAGAAGAAATTCATTCCGCACAACACGCCCATGATGAAGCCATCATGGCTAGGCTGAAGTTGGCCAGTGAGGAGAGGAATGATGCATGTAAACAAGTAAGGCAACTGGAACAACCTCTCAAAACGTATGTACACATCTAATGCTTTATTCTGGCTGCTGAATATCCACTGTCTTGTGGGAAAGCTCAGTTGTATCTATCACACTTTCTTCATATGGCCATTATGCATATATGTATGCTCTACATACCTAACTTCATGCATACAGGCACACATTTATTTATTAGCTCCTAGTTTGCTATACATAGGAGAAAGTAGGAAGTACTTGGTGATATTTTTTTAAGCAATTATATAATGTTTCTAAGCTCTAGTTTGTGAAAGTAGCTTGTGAGGAATCTCTGTGGGCACATTCTCTTAAATTCTTGATTCTCCTCCTTGGAACAATTAGAAAGAGCTACATTTCTACAGGTCTTAAACAGGACACTGGTTTTATTTGCTACAGTTTAGATTAATTCATGTGTGATCTCAATCTTCATCCTGACATAGACAAGGTGATGATTGACTGCATATGTAAGAAAGGGTATTGATTTATGCATGGATAATTAAAGGAAATGTCACATTTCATCCAGGGGTTCAGAGTTTGACTACTAAGTTGTGAATTAGAAGTCTTACTTTATAGGAAGACAATTAGATCTTTTGAGGCCACTTTTCCATCAGAAATAAAGTGAAGCAAAATGAAGTATTTTGTTAATTTGAAATAGAATATTTTTTTCTGTTAAATTTACTTTATCTGGAAAGCCTTTTTAAAGATGTTGCAAAATGATCCATTAAGTTGTTAATATGCATTTTTCTATGTTTTTGTTTATGCTATTTTTCAAAATATAGACATTTTGCAGTTTTCCTTAATGTGTATTTTATATTATTATATTATTTTCACAATAGTTACAGATATATTTCTGTAGTCTGATTTTTTTTTTGCATGTGGGCATGACAAAGTTTGAAAAATATCTGTAATTTTAAGGTGCACTGAGTTTTCATTTGAAGTGCAAAATTAGATAAGCTTGCATAAAAGCACGAATGGAATGACTCCACCATCCCGTGCTGCAATATTAATAGGTAATTGAGGAATGCTATGCAGTATTTCTACCGCCTGCAGACTCTAGCTTCGTAGAAGCCTCCTAATCCCTGATTTGCATGATATCATAACTTGATTACTTGCTTTACTGATTGGTATAATTCAATTTTACGGAAAGGTTAAAATATATTTACAAGCTTTTCATTCAACCTTTTATAATGTTATATCTCTTTATTCATTACCATTGGTTTGGAAATGAGGTAGAACAAACGTTTTGAGCTAATACCATGCAGTTCTGCAGAAAGGTTTTGACCGAGCTAGTAACAACTGAAAAATGTGTCAGCTGAAGAAAATGGGGCCCAAGTCTTTGTTCTTATCACATTGTTTCAGTCTGATTGTTTGGGGTTTTAGAGAAAGTTTAATTTCCTAAATTACTGTTAAGAAGTAAAAATCAATAGACTTTGTTCCACAGACTTATGATGGCAATTCCATGCAAATGTTCTTGAAGATTAATTTCATTAAAAACAGTGAGTCTCGGACATAGGTGTTAGGATTGGAGAGCTAGATATTTTTATTTTGCTTTGGACTTTGTTTTTGTCATGAAGGATGTGATAAAATTAAAATATATAATTTCTGCTGGAAGTTTATTTATGTATTTCAGTGGGTGCAGAATTAAATAAATAAAAGGTGCTTCGGTGCCCCTGCCGCTGGGGAACTTTCTTCATCTAAGCACATATGAACAATTGATCCTTGTAGTCATATATAGCAGTAAACATTAATAACTTAACATTCTGAAGTCAGTGCTGAAGATATGGAGCATTATTGAAAGATGGAATCGAGCAGGTGGCACTTTAATATGTTCAGTGTCATGGTTGACTCTAAAGACCAGTAGAATGAAATTACTTGAGGGTTCTAAAGATTTAAAAAGCGAATTCATTTTGCTGCACTAAGGAAATGCTACTGATCAGGCTTTCTGTGTCCTTTTTTCTAGGCTAGAAAATATTAACCCTGAAGAAAATGACATGGTAAGCCATTCTCTGAGGAGATTTCTTGATGTCAGTCTTATATCTTAGAGGCTTAAGTTCAATTGAGTGGGTTTCAGAAACTAAGATGTGGGAAAAAGAAGAATTGACACACTAATAATGTACATCTTTGCTGCAGTATGAAAATTCAATAACTTCACTCAGTCAATTTACAATTCACATGTGCCTATTAATTAAAACCCTATATTAAATAAAGTATATTAAAACTTCTTGTCTGACTAACTTAGAATGCTGTTGGTAGACATTACAGGAATTACTGAACAGAATAAACAATGCAGACACCGGTATGGCGATATGGAGGACAGGAACTATAATTGTCGATCGCATATACAGGACCCAGAAACAGAAAAAGAAAATAACAGCTGAAGAAATTAATGCATTGATAGAAGAGCGAGATGCTGCACTGGCTCAAGTAAGTCTATGTTAGTTTATTTGCATCCATTCACAGATATACCACCTCACCATCATTGGCAAAAATATGGAGGGTTTAATTTTTTTAAAAAATCTTGATAACCCTACAAAAAATATCACAGTGAAATAAGTTGTACACACACAGAGACATAAACACATTCAATGCTGAATTTTTCAAAGTCATTTTTGAATTAATTTAAAATTATATAAGAAGTGGAAACTTCAAGAATTTTAAACTTTGAAGACTGAATCTAAATTCCAAATGTCATTGGAAATCAAAAGTGGGAACATGTAGGAAGGGGAAAAATACATTTAATAGAAACAGGAATAAAAGGAACAAGAAACTACATATTTATTTTTAAAATGTAAATACAAGTAGTGAATAAAAGTGATTAAAGCTGTTGAAAAGCAACTCTGAATAGAATATTTATGTTGACCCTTTTTCCCAGAAGGTTACTTTCCTGAAGAAGTAGGCTGCAAAGTGGACCCTCTATAGAAATGTGCTATTTTGATAGCGGATTTTTTTTTTCTAAATTTTGTTTGTCTATTCTTTTTTTTAAAATATAGAACACAAAAAGTGTAGGAGAAGACAACAGAAGGAAGGTTTATAATTGATCTATTCCACATTTGATATATTCAATATATCTTTTGCAATACATTTTCCAACATGCCTATAGAAAATTGCTCTGAATTATAAGTTGAAATGGTGCATATCTTCATCAGAAAGTCGGGTCCAAGCTTGTCTTTATAAAAGGCCTTTCTTTGAGCATTTTCTTGGCTCTGAGCTCTTGGCACCTTGAGATATGTACGTCTGTCACTGTAGTATATTGGAGTTTCAAGGAGATAGTGCAGGCCATAAATGCCACTTTTATCTTAAGTATACTGCACTCCAAATATTTGATTCCAAGCAGTACTGTTCTGCTTGATATATTTAAGAGTTAAGCCTATTTTATGGACTTCCCAGTTGTATAGTGCCAGGCAATTAACAATTTTATTACATCGGAACTTTCAAATTTTAGCTTTTAGTTTGTTCCAATAGAAGAGAACATATGTAGCTCAGGGTTGAACTGTAGAGTCCTTGGTGCTTTCTGAAGTTCGTTATTTGCTTGCAGATATTTCATTACCCAACTAACTAATATAATCTTGCACACAAGTGTGGGGTTTGCTCCCTGTTTATATACAGTAGCTTGCCCTGCCAGTGTTGGTAAGAAAATTTTCTCCTTGATAATGCTTTGATTAAGGTATTATGAATCGTAGTGGTGCAGTGGTTAGAATGCAGTATTGCAGGCTACTTCTGCTGACTGCCCATTGCGAACAGTTTAGCAGTTTGGTTCTCACTGGCGTAAGGTTGACTCAGCTTTTCATTCTTCTGAAGTCGGTAAAATGAGGATCCAGATTGTTGTTGGCGGCAATATTCTGACTCTGTAAATTGCTTAGAGAGGATTGTAAAGCACTGTGAAGCAGTATAGGTCTACATGATATTGCTATGCTATTATACGCTTTTTGTCTGTTGGTGTTAATTCCTAATTCCAGGAAAAGTAGTATGTGGTTTTCCCTTGTGAATTTTATTCCTTTGAAAATGTTAGTCATTCATGTGTCTTCTCTACTTGTTCCTTTTTTTATTATGATGAAGGTGTCACTTGCATACCGAATCAATCAGTCAAAAGATATAATGAAAACTGTGTAATTTCAAAATTTATGGACAGACTCTTTTAACTGGAAAACCATGAGTATCATAAACCATATTAAATACAAAAAAGCTAAGGAATTCATGGAAATTTGGTATTTCCAAATTCCAGAATCAGCCATCAATCATCACATAGATATAAGCCACATTTACACAATGTTCAAAAAAAGCAATAAAAAACTGAAAATAAAACAAAAAGAACAGAATACATTCTCTCCAGCAATCAACACCCAAATAAACAGGAATTAAAACCAGATCAGCAATCAAGCAGAAAATTATACCTCAATTAAATAATTACTGAGAGGAAAACCACACTTCCACCAATACTGGCAGAGAAAAATACTGTATTTGAACAGAGAACAAATTCCACATAAATAGCATTGATGATGTTACCTAGTCAGGTAATAAAATGTCTGCACACAAGCAACCAAGATCACAGCTCACCAGATATTCTATAGTAGTAGTTGTTTTCCTGGTATTTAAGTGCATTTTGAAACTACCTTTAGTTTCTGTTTAGTCCTTATTTTTCTCTGAAGAGAATTTGACATACAGCACAGTATAATATTTATGTTCTCTACTGTTCTTTGTCCCAGACATGATTTGCCAAATAAACGACGGAAGGATTTTTATCTTGATGAAGAAAGGAATTAAGTTGTCCATGATCCTTTATTGTGTTGCTGATGTTGAGACAAATTATTATGAACTAGCTGGACAATTTGTGGATTATTGTCTTTAATAGCAAAAAAAGATTCTTCCATGCACCCCTAGTCCCCACCCCCGTGATTTAATCCAAACATCAAATTTGGCAAGGTAATATTTATTTCACAGTTGATAGAAAATTAGATTGCTACCAGGCTACAAAAGGCTAAAGGCAGAGAATAGCAGCTGGTATCTTCCAGATGTTTTGGACAAGAATTTCCACATAACCTGGATAGCACACCTGGTCATCAGAAATGTGGGGATTTGTAATCCCCAAACTGGACAATACCAGTTTGAGTATCCCTGGCTGAACTTGTCCCTAGATCTATTCTATATGTATCACAGATAATGTGACTGCCAGATCTTATTTGGAATAAGTTGTTACTGGATATCTTTAGAGAGGACCAGTACTTGAACCTTACATGCTGACATTTATGCAAGTAGGCTATTTAACATTGCTTCTGAATGGATAGCTGTTAATATTGGCAACAGCTGTAGCCCCAGTGGCTCTTGAAGATCATTGATCAGTAAATTAAGGATTGGAGGGATATTTAAGAAAGATTGTGCTGTGGTGACTAACGTTGGGCCTTTGCCTTCAGTTCTAGTCATTTGGTATCAGACAAAAGACATTGCAGCAATCATATACTTTCATTATAGTTTGAGTTCAGCTGGCAAAATTTAATATTCTTTAGTAGCTACTGTAGTTGTTTATAAGTATGCAATTATGCCCTGGGTGATATCTGAACTAGTCTTGTGGGTATTGGCATTCCTGTCTTATATGATGCCAATTAAGTTGTAATTAGCTGATAATGAAGGTGCAAATATGCCCTTAGGAGTCTTAAATTAAAAGTGAAATTGAATGTTTTGAGTGTGGCCAGATACTTATTAAAAAAATGTATGTGTGCTATAGTCATCATAACAGAGTATAGTTTCTTCACAGGATTTAATGATACATGCATATATAATCAGTAATAGTTCACTAGATTACTGTACAAACATACAAATTACTTTTACTATGTGCAAAAACAAATAAAATGGCATAAATTCAAATATTTGATATCACATTCATATATATTTTCAAGTGACTATAAGCAAACAACAAAACTAAACATTGACAGCACTCTTGGTTATTCACTTTGTTTTTTTAGAAGAGAAAAACTGTTGACATTCAGTTGCCAAGTTGTATTTATTAGTGAAGAAGTACTGTGTGATCCCGTGGAATTTCTGTCATGGCTTTGCTCTTTGCAAAGGAAATGAGAAGACTGAGATAACGTGCTTAAATGAAAAAAATATTTATATATCATTGGCATATATTATTATAAAAGCTAGTCCTTCTTCCCAGACATCTGTATTTCTGCTAATCATAAAAGGTATTGCTTACATAGCCCAAATGGGTAAATTGCTAGATAGCTAAAAGAACGGTAGAAAATAGACTATTATAGATCCTGTTTCTTCCCCCCCCCTTCATTTCAGAGTGATCAAAACAATTGGATTGTTTAGGGGGGTGGGAGAGAAAAAGATTTCTAATTAGCTCTTCCTCTCAATGGCTTTGGTTTGAATAAATGCATTTGCCAGTAGTGGGCAGTGTGATGAAATAACTCAAAACAGCTGCTGGCCTTTTGCCATTTACACCTTCTGAACAGGAATGTTTAACATGAGCAACTTGGCAGCCGAGCTGAAACCTGGTAACAGAGGAAGGGCTACTGCTAGTTTTCTCTTACTTGTTTGGGGGCAGGGAAATGGTTATTTTTCCTTTGCAAACAGGGAGTTCAACATTCTGAGCTGGGTGTTATTTTTTTCTTATACTCGGGACCTGTGATTGTGTTACAGTCTAGCCAAAAGGCCAAAGATATTGAATTTGTTTTGTTGTGGTGGTTGTTAAAAGAAAAAGAAAAACAGTTTTTTTTTATAGCTGGTATGGCACTATTTGATACTCAGCACTGAAGCAATAACGTAATTGGCAAGCAAACCTGGTTTTCCAGCTCTGAATAGTTTGATCACATCCTGCTTTGCAGGAACATGCTCATGACTTTTCATGAGCAAAATTGGCACTTAACCAGTTCATCTGAAAAGAACTCAAGTCCCTTTCTCTAATCCTGGCATACTTCGTAAGGGGCCTGCAGCTCCTGAGGGAGCAAAGGTTTAAAAGTAGCATAGGTGACTTGCCCACCTTTCTCAGTCCCAGATAGCAGCTGATAAACAATAAGTATCAATAGAACTTGTGTGTTAGCTTTAAAACAACCTTTTCTAAGGGTCAGCTTATCAAAGGGAAGCATAACCGTCTTTTTTTCTTTTATACTTCCAAAGCATTCAAGCATTTTCGCCACAGGCAATTGAGCATTTCTCATAAAAGATCTGTACCTATGAGGTACAGTAAGGGATTCCCCCCAGCAGTACATTAAAAGCTTTTAGAACTTGCCTTAAGACGCTCAGAATCAATCTTGAACTATAAGATGGATGGTAAATGAATTTGTTAAATAAGAAAGAAAGAAATAGAACAGGAATAAAAAGGGGGACCTTCATCTAGATTTAAGAATCTGTGCATTTTACTTTGAAACAGGGAAGTATTTAATGTCATGCTATTATATAGGCTATTTTAAGATATATTGAGAAGAACTTTCCTTATCAAGGACCAAATGTTAGAATGTTAGATTAGGACTGGGCATATCCAGATTCCAATTGTCATCCAGAAAGTTCAGGACATATTGGTTAACTAGCAGTTAACTGAGTGTAAAGGCTAGATCTGTGATGGTGAACCTATGGCACATGTGCCACAGATGGCACATGGTCACAAAGAGCACAGGGGTTTGTGCATGCAAGTGCAGGGGGGGTTGTGCGCAAATGCACGGGGGGAGAGCACATAGAATTATGACTGTGTGCGTGCACACACTTCTCCCCCGCACTCCCCTCGTTTTTGGCACGTGGTGGCAAAATGTTAGCCATCACTGGATTAGATGTTTCGAAACATCTTTTCCAGAAGAACTCTTGTGTGTTTACACCATGGTCTCGCCTCCTGCTTTAATCTCCAGGAGGCACATGGTTCTTACATCCTGACCCTGATACGGAAGAGAAATAGGACTCTCAAAGTTTTTGCTACTTTTATACCAATTAAAAAGTAAAAATATAACAGATAGATTAATTTCATTAGTGGTCATGTAATGTGAAGACATGTGAGTAAATGATTCAACCTTTCCTTCTCATATATTTGGAAAGAGACCAATCTCACAAGAGATGAAAAAATCATGTTTTATTTGAAAAAAAGAGAGATAACAATAAAATATTTTTCCCTTTAAAATAAAATGTGGATAATTAATGTTGATAAAGATAAATGATGGGGCTGTTTAAATTACAGTGATACACTTGCCAACCTAAGAGGATATTTACCAAAAGAATTGCAGTGATCCTAGTTGACCATATATGCCTCTAGTCTGTTACAAATGGTTCATATAGCAATTTAATATTATAGACTGCAAAAATATTATAAACAAACATGCCCAGCCTGAAAAATTAGTAAAAGATTGAGGTGCTGCTGCCAGCTCAATTTCCCAGAGAAATAAGAACATTGGACTTGACTTAGCACCACACAGAAAAAAAGAAAGAGGGGGGGGGGAACCTAATGCAAATTCCTGGTTTGACTGGCACCTAATTCTATTGAAAATAGCAATTTTCAAAACCAATGTCATTCTGCTTTATTTACTGGGACTTTCTCCAAATTTCTGAGGATTCTCCTTGCAATTGTATTCTCATGAGAAGATGGAATACCTCTTCTTCCAAAGCTTCAGTCATCAGCCTTCCTCCCAAGTGCTGTCTCCTGGATTTAAACCAGTTGGGCTCCTCTTTTTCCACCTGAAGGAAGATCTGGAATAAAGTGTGCATAAGCAGACCATGTCTCTCTCCCTCAAGAAAATGAATAATATTGTGTGCCTGAGTTTTCAACTTGTGTGAAAGTGACCTTTAGCCGGTAAGCATCTCTCAAGTATCTTTGGCTAGCCCGTCAGGCCTGGGGATAAGTCTACTTTCGCCCCTCCCGAATGCTGAGTGAATGTTGAGTTTTACTGTTTAATTTATTTTTGTTCACATTTCTTTTGTATTGTCCTACACTCCCTTTCCTTTTTGATTGTAAGCCGCCCTGAGTCCCCTCAGGGAAAAGGGCGGCCTATAAATGTCCAATAAAACAAAAACAAAAACAAAAAAACAGATTGGTACACTATATCCTAGACCAAGTTGCATCAATAGTATTTTATGTGCAGAATAATAAACAATACAAAATCCATCAAAAATGAAATTCCCTGGAATTCCATGGACCAGGACAATGTCCTTTTTGAAGTGTGCAATATTCTTTCCTATCAAAAGTGATGCTTTTGTGGAACTTTGTCACGAGTTGAGACTTCCTTTTCTCCTTCTTTTACAGCCCACAAATCTATCCTTAAAGGTCTTACAAGCTTCTAGAGTACATTTGCCGAGGCATTATTGAATACACATCATAGTTACAGTCCGGAAAATGCCAGACTTAGAAACAACATGGATATTGTTTCCTTGTAATTGTCTTTATTTAATTAGCTTTGGTTGTATTGTTAATGTACTTATTCGCTTTGATTTGGTTTATTATAGTTTATTTGCTCTCAAGTTTCTTGTTTTTATAATTGCTCTAAACTGTTATGAGTCATGACATTTGGCAGTATATACATTCAATAAATAAATACCTTCAGCAGATATAGGCTGAAATTGTCCAATTTAAAAAAGCAGTTTGAAAATCTAGATGTGATTTTTAAAAAGAAAAGAATGTGGCTTGAATTATATGAGTTGTGGAAGAGATTTGAGTTCAAAGCTGATCTCCGGCAAATATGAGTTTGACCTCTGTAACTAGTTTGTTTGTCTCAGATTTAAAGCTTCAGTAAATCTCATGGGGAGTTTTTCAGGGGAGTGGGAAGGAGCCAAGATTAGCTC